TCTTAAGTTTGTTTTAGTCTTACATTTACATTTCAAGTTTCTTTTTCTTTCTGCCATATTTATTTCTTGATCTTGATATATTCTTATGATATTCTTTTTCTTGACTTTTACTGTTTTTTTAAGCATTATAAGAATAGCATGTTGAATTTCATACCTTCACTGTCTCAGAAAATTTTAATACATATCACCATTATCAATATTCACACATTTACTACTGAATGAAGCTGCAAGTTGTTAATGGTTATTCATTCATATTTCTAAGCTTTAAGTTGTCTTGCAAAATTTGAAATAAAAGTGTGACATGTGAGTGTTATTGCCGGGCACAGCCGGTTGCGTGCTGCCTCAGCTTGGTGGTGAGGAAGGTGTGGACGCCTCCAGTGACTCAGCAGTATCCTCCCTCAGTCCCGATGAAACCTGGGGCACAGTGGACCACACTACACGACCCCAAGGTACACATACACTTTAGCCACACATCCTCATCAGTTTGAATATCACTGTCAACCATTGCCAGAGGAGAACTGGAAGCAGTTCTCCAAATGTCCAACATATTCAGGATCTTGGCCATCTGTCTTTCCATTGTTCTTACGAGCTTACATTTACAGTGCTGCTTTTACATTGAGAGAGGATTTTTTAACTTTACTGTACTGAAGACATTACATTATAATATTCGTAAAAATCTGTAATAATCTTTGCCTTTGCCTTTGCCTTAGGAAACAAGAATTCATTACAGAGAACAGTTCTTGATACTAAACATGCAAATTGACAGATGATGACCATTTCATCACACTCATCAGACCATTGCAGACGTTTCATTTGAGAAAGTTTTATGTCGACACCTTGCATTACATTTCACCTAATGCTTTTTAGTGTTTGTAATTATTTCAGAATTATACTGACATATCACTTGTCTAGTAGAATGAAGATGATTTAAAGATTTTAAAGCCACCTTCTCTGATTCCTTTGAAGTAGTTATAGTTTAAAATAGTTGATGATGCATGAAGATATAATGGGTGATGGTAGAGTAGAATCCAGCTATGGTGGAATTCTCTTATTAAAGTTCAATTCTATGCTTTGTAATAATTAAAAAATAAAAAATATACAAACAATGAACTTCCAAAAATCTTAAATGTTTTAATGCAAAATGGTGGTCTCTAGACAATGGCAGTCGAAACCAGAGTGGAGACTACAGTGCAGGAAGCTATCGCTATGGACCTGAGGATCCCCACAGAATGCCACCAGTACCATTGAAAAAGCAACACATGTTCGGCAGAGACAAGAGATACTTTCATGATAACCTACAAGGTGAGTCAGTGAAGTAACATAGGAGAAGTTTGCTTCCTGGTATACTAAGTGATATATTATGCTATTGTGACATTTATTTAGTTTCCTGTTCATACAAAAGCAGTGAAGAGATTAAAGGCAAAATTAGTGGCACTTTTTCTGTAATGTCTAAGGTGAGAACAAAAAACAACAAAATCCTCCACAGTCAGAACTCTTTATCAGTTCTTTCTGTGGGTAAAACATAAGGAAAAAAATTATAAGTATGACCTAGGGTATTAATGGCTGTAAAAAAAATATAGGGTTCACAGCTTTTACAAGAAACACTTAATCCCCTTGTAAATACTAATCATTACATAGGGCAAGTGGCTTTCAGCCTGAGAATTTACTTTTTATTTTCCTTGCATAATAGGGGGAACATCACTATATGATGTTTATAGAAATAAAAAAATGGCTAGATTTCTAGATACTATAACAAATATAGTTTAACATAAATAGAACTAAAGTAATTTACAAGAACACTCCCTTTCCAGCTTTTTATGGCAGAATCTGATTCTGAACTTGGTATGAAACTAGCTTTCTTATAATGATTTACATGATTGATATAATAAACATTATATTTCTTTTGGAATCAGGAGCAACTGGTGGCATGGGAGGTGGCAGCAGTGCAGGTGTTGGAGATGTCGGAGGCTATGGAGGCCATTATCCTCCACCTGGCATCCAAACCATGGAGGGAGCCACTGCCTTGGATCCTGCCGAGATGAAGTATTCTTGCACAATGGACTTCCGCTCTCAAGGAGGTAAGTAGCACAGCACAGCAGTTCTTATACCTTGCTTTTTTCTTTCTTTCTTTATTTATTTTTTATTTTATTTTTTTCTTCTTCTTCTTCTTCTTTTTTTCTTTTTTTCTTTTTTCTTTTTTCTTTATCTCTTTTTTATGCAGAATAGTTGTATACAATGACTGATGTCATTCTGTATGACTGCTAGCGTGACTGTTTATCAATGTAATAAAGAAAAAGGATTACAGCATGGTAGATAATGCTGAAGATGAAAAAATTAGGAGCATTTTTCATATCCCAGCTTGATAATGCATGAAGTAGTCTCCTATATCATGTGTTAGAATTGAATTGTTTTGTTGGCCTACAAGTACTTGAGAAAGAGTGGACTGAATCCTAAAAATGTGTTATCTTAAGCAAGTAAGAGAATGTTGCTATTTAATCTAAATCTGTATCTAATCCTTGATGCGGTCCCAAGGCAGATGTGAAGGATTACAAGTTTGATTTAAAAAGTAGCTTTAAAAGGATGTACATATGTAGGCTGATATTATTAGATATGAAAACAAGAAACAAATTTATTGTCACCCAGATTATAGAATATAGTGTATAAACCCATAGCTGATGGACCAACAGAAGTCATTGTCAGGCATGCAAATATTAACTTGGTTTCCATACAGTGGTTACTATATACGTATGAGAATGTCAAGATATATATATATATATATATATATATATATATATATATATATATATATATATATATATATATATATTAAGAATATTTAGTCCATTGCACTAAATTGTTTTACATAGTTGTAATATAATTGAGAAATTGTAGCAATTCAGTGAAAAATGTATGTGAACGCTGAAAACATCTCATTTTTTATTTGTGTGTTTACTCATTTTCTGCCTGGCCTAGCTAAGGTTGCAATTTTGTGAGTTATGAAACTGAAAAATCATATTACAATCAGAAAATACTGGAGGGAATACCTCAGCCATAGATTGTTTGATTTCAGCTTATTATGACAAAAAATAAGGATAATTCAGGTTTAAAAATTATGAAAATCAAATTCAAAGTTTCACAGTAATGTTACTCAACACTAGATGGAGAATTAAACCTTTACAAAGGACTGGAGATGTCAGACAACTAATCTATAAGGAAAGGCATAAAGAGAAAGATATAAATAACTAGTAAAGCAAGAAATGGGAAGAATGATCATTGTAGCCAGAAAGGAAGGATTGAAATAGAAAAGTTGCCAGTAGGAGAAAAGATAAAGAGAAAATAAAATGTATCTGTAGGGAGATAACTACAGTGGTGTTGGGGAATTAAAAAGTTAACTCAAGGCATCAAAGAAGGTTCAGTAGAGGGCACAGAGGGAGGAACAGCTAAATGATAGGTGGGCTTGGAAACTGAATTAGTGACTGACAGGAAATAACAATAGTACATTACACAGGAAAGCAAGAGTCCAGTTTACAGAATAAATATACCAGTATAACACAAGATGAGCAAATTAGCTAACTCCAAAAAATCCAGGACCTTGAAATTTATATTGGAGATATAAAGATCATTGAGTCATTAATTCCAAAATGCTAGCAACAAATTAATGGTTTAAAATCTTTGACATTGAAGGTTTTTTTTTTCCCCTATGCTGTACTTGCAGTGTTAATAAGTTTTGACCGCTACTGTGACTTAATTTGCATTTCATAATGTTTTACATTTTGATTTTGTAGCTTCCATATTGTATGGAATGATATATATATGATAAAGTTGGTGGTAGATGAAACCTTCTATGCTTGATAAAAAATTGTGTACCAAGTCTCCTCTGCAGATTTAGAGTTTGTACTAATATGTGTACATATTTAGCATTTACTCTTTGCATTTATTCACAAAGTTATGGGTCTATTACAAAGTTAGAATTTCACAGCAACTTTCAGAATTATGAGCAAATCAGCACACAGATACAGTGCAGCCTTTTCTTTTGGTGCTCAGATTAATAATATTACGAAGAAAACAGTTACTCAGAAAAAAATGAATTAATAAGTAGAAGAATCACTATTTTAGGTAAACCTAGAGGGCAGACATCCTCATCCTCAAGATTTCTAACCTCTAAAAGAAAATATTCAACCTAAAAATCTGTGGTTGGGGATCAACAACAACAAAAACTAGGATGTACTGTTGATAACTGGGAAGAAAATGTATTCTAGGGTTTAAAGTATGAGAATCTCTAATTATCACAATAGTTTGTTTGTTATGTTGCTTTATCCTCTCGTCAACAAAGGAAAACTGACATCTGTCTCTAACATACTTTACTTACAACAAACTACAACGTGCCATGTTATTGTTAAATAGTACTTTAAAATAGATATTAGACATGTCACCTCATATGAGGGGATTTCTCAAGCAGGAAAGTGAACCCTTAGAGTAGTTGCAGTTGATCTTTCATCATTTTATATTATTACTTTGAAATGATAACATTTAGGAGTGGCATTCATGAGAAGAAGCAGGTACTTCTGCCTCATTACACATGGCTATAAGAGCGGATACATAAAAAAGCAATCATTGCATGTTTGCCTGTCTTTGTGCATGGGCGAGGGGGGCTGTCAGTAGATGTAGTACATGGATAAGTACATGGTCACTCGACATTTATTATACACAATGGAATGGGTTGAATATTGTGCTTTCACCATTAATTCTGACCAGTCCAATTTCCCATCATGTTTCTATCACAACTTATGTACTGGGAATGAAAAGAGAAACGTCACATTTTCTGTTGACTCAGGATACTGGAAGCCAGGGGTTGTGGAACTGGGAGCTGCTTTCTTGTGAGAAAAGTAATCTTCATGTTTTATATTTGATAATGTATAAATTGTCATTTTTTCCAAATTTATGGTACGATAGGTTGTAGAAACATTAGTGCCACTTGTACCAGTTTTTATTGTAAAAGCTGAATTTAATCACAGTCTGAAGGGAGGATTCTAGCTCAGATATATGTTATATCTTAGATATAACACATACTCGAAAAAAACATGCAAAATAAAGCAGTTCACATTAGCTTACAAGCAAATCTTGAACACATCTAGAAGTTGTTAAACAAAATACTAGCACTAATACATTTCAGAATGTGCTTTATGGGAAGTAATATCACATTTCCTTATCATCGATACGTATTTTTATTCTGCACTTTGTTCTTTTGACATTTCTTCACCCATCGAGCAATATTTCGTACATTAATTCTTTTAGCATACTTGGCCATTGTCGTGAAAGAAATAGATTGGTTATGTTTTGAATAAAAAGGTGATTTGTCAAGTATACCAATGGACAATGAAAACAGAATAACTGTTTATGGTACGGTAATAATTCTAAATGAAGCGGGAAAATCAAGACCTGTCAAAGTCAAAACGCAAGTGTCGTAGGGTAAGTAGCCGCCGAGGTACAAGCGTTAGCGCGCCGAACCGAAGGGAAAGTTAGGAAGGACATCCAATCAGGCTAAATAATCTCTCAATAGTGGATTGAGGGAGGCCTATGTCCTGCAGTGGAATAAATGGCTGTTTAAAATATGTATGTGTGTGTTTGTTTGTTTGTGGGGGTGGGTGTCTGTGTGTTTATATATATATATATATATATATATATGAGAATGGTGTACACACACACACACACACACACACACACACACACACACACACACACACACACACACACACACACACACACACACACACACACACACACACACACATGGTAGAAAAACCCACAATACAACTGCAAGATTCCATCTGGATTCCATCTTCAGGTCTGAAGAGGAAAGGGAGAGGAGGGGGTATGAAAGAGAGAGAGAGGAGAGACGAACGGAAGCGAAAGGAGCTCAGATCAGGTCGGAGGATCGGTCGGATTATGCGCAGGGCGTGGGAAGCGGGGAAACTGTCGGCAATAGAAAAGCCGCTGTTCAGGTGGAAATTAGGCAGCAGCTTTATTAAGGAGGATTCCACCAGTCTGCGAGCGTGGACATCACTGGACGGAAAGACAATTCTCGCCGCTGACCACGCCAAAGTATTGCTTATCTCAGGAGGCACAAGGGACAGCATAGATGCCCACCTTCGAGGAAGAGGGAGGACTGGTGTGGACCAGGTTGCGACGGAGAGTGTTCACCTGGCGAAAGATCAGCCTGCAATTGAGAGGATGAAGAGGGCGAAGGATAGAGTAGATCTCCTTAGTGTAGGGCAGGTGTGGAGTCTCTCTAGGAGAGGAAGGAAGGTACGCCGTGCCCTGGATAACGCGGCATCGAGGACATGACGAGGATAGTTCAGTTTGGAGTATGAACGACGTTGGCAGTCGATCTCCATCCGGGTACTGTGGGTCACAGATGTGGAGGGCGCGGAGGAACGGCGAGGTGGCAACACATCTCTTTACATGGAGAAGATGGTATGAGAAGTTTATGTACATACCACTATGCATAGGCTTCCTATATAGAGGAGTGGTCAGCAGAGCGGTGAACTAGGGTGTACAAGAAGGGGATCTTGTTGTCAACTTCCCATTCCACTTGGAAACGGATGGAAGGAGAGAGTTCAGCTGTGTCAGGAAATGGGAGAACAGGGAAGGGTCATGAGGCCATACAGTAAAGACGTCGTCGATACACCTCAGCCAAACCGACGGACGTAAGGAGATGGAAGGGAGAAGCTCAGACTCGAAGAATTCCATGAACAGGTATGCCAAAAATGGAGAGAGAGGAGAGCCCATGGCAACACCGAATGTCTGGGAGTAGAAGCGACCCTCGAAGGAAAAGGAAGTAGACTCCACACACAGCCGAATCAGCTGGATGAAGACATCGGTGAGCAGAGGAAGACGAGGATCCTCTGCGGGGAGCTTCCTCTGAAGGAAAGCGAGGACGTCATTAAGCGGGATCTTGGTGAACAGCGGGTCGACATGCGAGGTTCCTCGGACACGGGAGATGAAGTCGTAAAGCCCCTTTTCCTTTTGGATGGCGCTTCTACCTGTACCCCCTGATCATATATATATATATATATAT